AACGTATACTCATACGGCAAAAAAGTCTATTAACCGGCAGTTGACTTCTCACTTCAAACTACCATGACCCCCACTATATGTCATAATCGATCCCTTTCACAGTACTCATCTCACTTTTTCTCTGCCTTTGTGTCTGTCTCTTTTACATCCGTGAATCACTCTTCTGTTTCCCCTCTCGAATCTGTCACACTTTGATGTTCCTTCCCCTCTGTGAAGCCCGAAGTCAGTTAAAGGCTAATGATAACTATCAAAACGCCTGCCATTTGATATAAATAAATAAATATGTTTGTTTCTAAATGACTCACAATAGTGAAATTTCAACTATGCATATGAAAGTGCGTTGCTTCTCTCAGTTGTCATCAGCTGCTCGATAAAGTTCTTGCACTAAACACAAACCTACTCTGAAAGTACGTTCAGTTGGCACACAATTTCAATGCTTTCTGAGTTCGAGGATTTTTCGGCCTCAAAAGGAGGGGGGGGGGTGGGAGGGGCTGACTCTTTACCCCTTTCAACAAAAAAACTCAAATTAGATTGAGAGCAGTCATTTGAAAACTATGATGGAGACTTTCAAACTGCATGAAATATTGGGGGGAACGGATAGATATTGCTAGTATCGTAGACGTAATTGGGCTGATTCTTGTCATCCACGACAACTATCCTTAGTGAAACCTTCCTTTTGTGCGAACTGTTCACAAACTCAAATTTATGAGAAAGACGAGATTTGATGATAAGTTGTTGGGATCAAACAGGTCGACTTGCAAAGAGATGTGTCCAGATTGATTGGTCATGATAGCCAACACTACCTTCAGCACTAGGGGTTGTGCGATAGACTTACCTCCACGTGGTGCACCCTGGGCAACGTATACTCATACGGCAAAAAAGTCTATAAATCGGCAGTTGACTTCTGACTACAAATTACCATGACCCCATTGTATGTCATATTCGACTACTTCCACAGTACTCATCTCACTTTTTTTCTACCTTTGTCTTTGAAACACTTCTGTTCCCCCTCCCTCTCGACTTTTTCACTTTGATTTTCCTTACTCTCTGTGATGCCTGAAGTTAACTAAAGGGCTAATGATAACCATCAAAACGCCTGCCATTACCGAAGTCAGTTAAAGGGCTAATGATAGCTATCAAAACGCCTGCCATTTGTTAAGGGCTAATGATAACCATCAAAACGCCTGCCATTTGATAAAAAAACCCTCAGCACTCACTGCGCTCATCATCCCTTCCGCTATAAAATAGGGCTCTTTCTAATAAATAGGTCTGTAATTAGAATCTACGCAATATCCACCTTCAAATTATCTTTTTCCTATTTGCCTGGAACTCCCATGTACTTTCCCTATTATATCCTCGTATTGTTCATCATCTCTAATGCAAGGTCACCGAGCGAAGTTCGCAAATTCGAGTTGTAATGATTTGCGAGCAAGTAGTACGCAGAGGACAGTGGGGTTAGGGGGGAGGGGGTTGTGAATGAAGCCAGGTTGGTTGGCGTAAACGTGCAAAAAACAGGTCTAGTCAAGTTATTGAAGAGAATTCACAATGAAATTCTTCGGCTCATTGATGGGCATCGCCCCTTTGTTTGGCTTTTATTTAGAGACGCGAAGCAGTCAGCGCGCGAGTTTGACTGGAAGACGTGCAAGCATTACTAGGCGGTAGGAGATTACGAAGGTAAAAAAAAATCCTAAAATGTGCCCAATGCTAATTTACCACAAATAACTTAACCTAGATTTCTTGGGAGTATTTCTTTCGGTTAGCGAAAGACACGAATGAGTCATAAATGCAGTTGACTTGTCCACACTGACAAGTGCAAATAGGCAAGGGGGTAGATCATCTCCACCAATCCTATTGCAGCTGCCTCCAGCTGATTTACTTCTCGCCCTTATTAGGGGCAAAAAGCGAGAGAATGACCGAATTCTTCATCACCCTGCTCCTCTAGCCAATCATGACTAGGAACTTCCAGAAGAGCTAATATGTATATTACATCAAAACTTCGTCCATTCCATCTCCCCTCATCCACTGGAGTCGTTGAATAATAAGCCAACCCATCTATACGCAAATCAAAACACAAGGTACTTTACAATACAATACTCTTTCCTATTTACAAATGCCCCTTAAAAAGGTGGCCTTTTAGTCAACAACAATCTTAATGGGTACGGAAAGGCGAGCCTTTTGTTTCCTCTTCGCCTCCCAGGACGGATGCAACGGGAGCTCCTCTTTGGAGGCTGCTGCATTCTTGCCGAATTTGGGCTTGGCCGAGACGTTGCCCTTTCGGAAACCTGCTCTTCTGAAAGTGCTGGGTTCAAATTTATTCTTCAAGTTATGCAAATTTCTCTGTTTGACGTAGCGCCTGTAAATCGCCCTATCTCCCGGCTTGGCACTTCGATTTTTCAACTGAAAAAAACAAAACAAAAAAACAAATAGCAGAACAAAAAGAAGCGTTTATGCGTCGTTGAAGATGAAATTCTTCGCAATTAATTCATCAATATTGGTTAGAAGATAAGATCACACAAGGAAAATGGACTTTAACAAGGAAAAGAAACGATCAGAGTACTAAAAGAGACTCGAGTACCAACGATGCACTCTTTCGGGTGCCACAATTTATGAATAGGTTACCCCACAGCCAACAACTGCCCATAATATTCACACGCAAATTAAGAAGGGCTAGGAAATACTAACCTACAGTAATTACGAGTTTTAAATAACTGTTATAATATCATAGAACAGAAAAATTGTAATTAAAAGAAGGAAAAAACAATTAGATTAGTCCATATTGAGCACATGGTGTCCAAAAACAAGGTCGACCAATCACGAAAGCCCGTAAGATATGTCACATGCTTAGACAAACTAAGACGAGGATCAACAATCACATGGCAATCAAATTCACCTTTTGGTTGCAATCACCAATTGTTGCTGATGCAAGGGGCCCCAATTGTTTTTTTAAAATAAATTAATTGAAATATTTTGCAATTGACTGAATTCTGGAGTCGTATTTAAAAAAAAACTTTTGCATTCAGATAAATAACTTATTAGAAGAAATCTTGCCTCCTGTTTCATTTCAACATCATCACATCCCAGAATATCGTCATCTTCGGAAGCATCTTCGTCATCACCAATATTTTCAGTGATTATTTCATGCAGCATTCCATCAACCTCAATTCCAGGCATTTGAACCTACCAGCAGAAAAAAAGGAAAATAAGCGTTAAACACGAAAGAATTAAGAGGAACCGAAAAACTAGGAGCTACAACTTAGCAATAAGTATTTAACCTGATAACTAAGAGTCGGAGAAAAAAATATTGAGAATTGACCTCATAACCTCTTGAACCGCAATCGTGGAGAGCAGCATTACTAACATCAGACTTTAAAACCTGTGTTAAAAATTGCGAAAAGCTAGACAGCTAAGGCACATCAGTAACTGAAGCCATCCGGTTGAGTAATGAAAACCACTCTACTTAATTATTAATAAGTAGCCACGCAGGAGTATTAAAGAGGGATTCATAAAACAAAACATCGTGTCTACTTGTAAATAAAAGTAAAAACGTTTTGTTTAATATTACCGATTCTGAGGGTGCTTCTGGTGCTTTAGCCTTCTCCAACCTTCTTTGTTTCCGATTTAATTTTGCGGGTTTCTCTTTCTCACCTTCTTCGGCCTAAAAAATGAAAAGTTAAACTTAAACAATTGGAAAAGAGGGAATTCCGATAACACTTAACCACAACACACCGAAGGAGAAGATTTAAGCACTCCAAGTTCCACTTTTTCCATACTCTGAGCAATTTTCTGAGATGAAGCGTTAACTGCTTCAGAATTCTGCTTTACTTTACTCCTTTTGGATTTCTGAATCTCCTCCTTAACTTCTGGATTCGCTTCTATAGGCTCTGGAATCCCCTTTAATTCATCGCCAATAAGTAAGGAGTCGTCGATCTTCTCGCCTCTATTGACCATTTCAAGGAGTTCATTAATAAAGACTTTCATTTCAGGATTGCTGTGGTTGACTTCGGAAGGACGGATATCCCGATCAACCTGCATCTGGCCTTCATTCGAGACATCACCTTCAGAGTCGTTTTCATTTTCTACAATTCCTAATTTTTCTTCTTCTAGAATTCGTTTCTGAGCTTCAATTAATTCACGATCGTGAGCATCTTTAAAAGTTTTGAACCTTAAATAAAAAAATAAAAACCAAATAGTAAGCAAGCTGTACTAGCGGTAGGGAAATGAGGAAGATACTGAAATTGCAAAAAAAGACAAACAAAAAAGTTGTTAGTAAAAATGTGAACAAAAGCTAGAGTGTGGTCAAGATGAAAGACGACTTGAGAATATTGTACTTTTTTAAAGAAGTAAATAAAGAATAATAACATTTTGGATATTAAATAGTGCTGAAAAACCAATACATAACTCAGAACTCTCGGCCATTGTGTACAACAAAATGCGAATTAAATTAGAATATAATTAGAAAAAGAAAAAAACAAATTATCAAATAAAAAACAACTACTAATATTTCATGCAATGAATATACTCCTATTTAAAAGCAGACAATTGGCAAAGGAGCATGGGTAAAAGATTACTATTGGTAACTTGTCTTGAGCAAGGGACAACTAATTGATTTTTAGAAAAATAGTGAAAGATAAACTCAAGATTCGAAAAATCCAGTTTACTCAATTTTCCATTTTAGCACCTATTAATCACTATAATCATATCGCAAAATACTTCAAACCATAAAAAAAACACTTGAATATATATATACAATCAAATTAAGCGGGAAAATATAAAAGAAAAATATTTTGAAAAATTAACATACAAGAATAACTCACTTTTGTAGTGTTGACTCTACTTGTTCATCGTTGCTAACATCCAATTCCCCTATCGGTAGTGGAAGATCTCCCTTTTTCTTTTTCCGCTTTGTGGCTTTTCTTTTCTGCTCAGTAGTCTTCCACTTACCAGAGGTATTCTTGTACAGAAGGTAATGCACTAAAGTGGGCCAATCATTGTGCTTCTCGCGGAAATCTGTGACGAATTTGGCGATATCGGGGCAAACCGAAACCCGAATGACAATACGTTCCTGTTTGGTAAGAGTTTCACCTCCCTTTTCAAGCTATAGGGAAAAAAACGAATCTTTAACCGTTAAAAATCAAATGCAAAAAATGTAATGAAAAAACTAACCATATCGTGGGAATTAACATTAGCTAAAACAAGTTTGCTCAGTTTATCAACATTCATCTTCTTTAACAATCGAACTTCGGCGAGTCTATTAACAATTTTTCGTCCCAAACGTTTAGATTGATCTTCAGGGATTTTCAACTGCTTTGATTTTTGTCGTTTTATATAGAGTGCAAGTTCGCGAAGAACCAAAACTTTTGCTTTCTTTACCAAGGGTCGCATTCTTAAAACAATATTGTTTAGATCAACAACATCGATAGATAATTGCTGTTGCTCCTCTTTAATGCTGTATGTAAGGGGCATTGTGTCACGCTTGGCAGCCGTGAAACACAAGAGCAGCCTCGAATTTTTAATTAAAGCGCCATCCAGTAAACGATTAAAACAAGGCAAAACTTTTAAATTCTATTCTTGGCCTTAAACGGACCTTGCATAAAGGTTTATTTCTTATTAAAAATATCGAAAGTAGAAATTACTAGCAGAAGCTAATTTAAAAGTGATAATTGAAATGACTAACTGACGATAATTTAATAACAGTAGATTCCACGGTCGGTCTACCTATGCTTACACATAGATACCTAAATGACCCCTAATTACCATACTAAGCCATCGTTACTGAGGCAGGACTAACCTTTGACGAAAAAATTTTGGTTTATAAATCAAAATTTTTATCAATAAAATGGGTTAGCATCCTAACGGCCTTCTTACGGATCTATCGGCTTAAGCGATTTAAATTTACCATTTTAACTGTCAGAACCCACTTTTTATAGTTATTCAATCGTGACAATTTTATTTATAAAGTTAAAAAAGTTATTTAAAGAAAATCATAGTTCTGAAATCAGTTTGGCAAAATCCTTATTTGCTCATACTTTTTAATGGCAGCACAATTCGCATGTTTCTTATAATAAATACTTTAATACTTAAATGAATGTATCCCGATGGGTACTTGATGCTTTAGGGAGAATCATTCGTTCTTTAGCGTTAAGTGTCCATTTTGAAAATGATATTTTTATTTTAATGAATCACAAATATTTCCCATAATCCAAATTAATATTTCTCCAACGTAGTAGAGTAACATGTGTACGATAAAACAGAATGTAAGAAGGCGAATCAATTGAGGAAAGATAGTTCTGTTCTTAAAATAGCTTATATTTTAATAACTAATCTAAATATTTTCCAATGTTTAACTTGGACAAGATAGGTAGAATTCATTTAACTACTCATTATTCTCTCTTTATAAACTATTTAATTACCATCTATAACGATGCATTTAAATTAATCCAAACAAAGTTTAATTTAAAGTTAGGTATTCAAATCGACGAAAAATGGAAAATAGGTACTAGAATTCATTTTGGTGAAACTCCATTTTGTCCTAAATAACTCATGGACATATGATTGATACTGGGATCATTATAATGTTTCCTAAATTCAAAACATTAAAGAAATATCAGCACTGCAATCTGTATAAAAGAGTTTCATTATTATTATTATTATGGTTCTTAATACAACCACTATAACAACACAACTAGGAATGAAATAGTCTGTGGTAATTAAATGTGGAAATTTAAACTGAGTGTTAAGCTTACTAGGGGGTGCTATACTTGCCTTTAAAATAATCAATCTGAGAATGTTCTTTAAATTGGATAGTAACAAAAGGGTACGGCATGATACTAACTAATAGCAGAATAAAACTATTTTATTCTCAATTCAATATGGGTGAATAGTTTATAGGAAAGAATGAAAATCACATAATAAAACTATTACTCATTTTTAGCATTGTCATTCTCTCAACAAACTGAGAAATCACGAAATCTTGCACAACTATCTCAGTTATTTTTACTCAACATCTCTTAACTACATTATTTTTATTATTTCAAATGGCAGGCTTTATGATATTTATCATTAGCCTCTTAGTTGACATCTGCTTTCCCTGTGGGCGAGTGGGGGGGGGTACATATATAGCAGTTAATTATCTGTCCTTTTGCTTCCCAGTATCTCTGTGTTTCCGTCGTTGTCTTTACGGGTGGACACCGAAACAAGTGGGTCTTCTCCATTTCCTCCTGTAGGTTACATAGAGGGCATGTGGGTTGAGTGTATACTCCCAATCTCTGAAGGTTTTTTGCCAAGTAATCCTGTTCGGTACGTAGTCTAAACTCAGCAACGGCTTCGATTCTTGGCCAGCTGACAATGTCGGAGAGTGCCAGTGTCCACAGTTTCTCCTTTGTTCGAGCTTTAAGTTGAGGTGTGGAATTCTCTCCTCTTCTCTATGGCCTTCATTGTGTGGAAAGACATCGGCCGGAAAATGCATTGCAAAATCGTTGTTCCCTTCTTAGCATGTGTGTCTGCAAGCTCATTGCCTTTAATGCCACAGTGACCAGGAATCCATTGTAGGACCACTGTTTTGTTTTTCTCTCTCAGCAACTGATAGAGTTC